ACTTACTTACTTACTTACTTACTTACTTACTTACTTACTTACTTACTTACTTACTTACTTACTTACTAGGGAAAGGCCGCAGACTGCCATATGTTGCTTAGAATGATTGGGGAGATTAAAGTGTTTCGCGGGCGATTTAGATGCGTTTTTGTCGTCTTTCTCTACGTCACGAACGTGTTCTCGGAATCGGTCGCCTAGTCGTCTTCCTGTTTCGTCAATGTATAACTTTTTGCAAAGAGTGCAAGTTATGCAGTGGATGGCATTGGCTGAGGTACAGGTAAAATGATCAGGGATCTTGATGGATCGCTTGGGTCACGATATTTTCTCAGCTTTGCGAATGAAAGGACATGTTTTGCATCGTGCGCGTGCGCATTTAAAAGTTCCGTGTTGATCACTTGTTTGGAATGCACTTCTGACTAACAAGTTAGCTAAGTTTTTGTCGCGTTTGAATGAAGAAGGTGTTCTCTTCTGAGAACACCTTCGTGACGTGGAGAAAGACGACAAAAACGCATCTAAACCGGTCGCGAGACACTTTAAAAATCCTGGATGCAAAAACGTTAACAAATCTTCAGAAGCTAGTTAGCCCGCAGCTAAAGCAAGGAAGCAAGGAAGCGTGAATTGCTTGTGCGCATCGTTACTGCGCACGAAATTTGCGCGCAACTTGTGGATAATTATAACACGATTAGTTTAGTGCGTCTCAACATTATTCTTACCTTGCTGCATATTTTTTCACTTGCTCATCTTTCACTTTCTTGTCCTCGTTGCTACAAAGAGTACTAAGCACAAATTAATTTTAATAAATTAAAGTCTTGAAATAAAAGTAGATTTACAGTGTAGGTAGACGTACATAGAGAATGTCACGGGGGTTTTGGGTACAGCTTGAAATTCTTGGGACTGGGGAAAAAGAAAGTTCCACCGATTGATGAACGATGAAACTGAAATTATTCCAAAACTTGGCAGTTTCATTTTGAACTTTGGTGATCGGTACCCAGTTCCGCGCCACGCGCGTCACGTGAATGTTTTCGCAGTGTATGAAAAATGAGTACCTGTAAAGTGGTAAAAGCTATTCGAATGAGCAAAATTCGCGTCACCTGATTGGTTTTTTTCTAGACCCTCATATTATTTCCGAAACTGGGGGTGTTAAGAAGACAGTTCCGAAGTGGCGTGACGCGCGCGGAAACATTTTGAATTTAAGTTACGCGTACGTTAGTTGCGCTTACGAATTTAAGTTGCGTGGACGTTTATCGGTAGAGTTTTAAACAGTTTCCAGCGAGCAGTTGTTGTGCCTTTCAGAGAGTTTTGTGCCGTTTAGAGTTTACCGTTTTATCGATTTTGAAGTGTTTTGGTCGAGTACCGTTTCCGTTTACCGCTCACGAACAGGGGGTGATATAAAACAACTTGAGTGGGATTACCTTGGGCATAAGGTCTCTGTGGGGGACTACCTATCTCACTCTTCATCTTCTCTTCTGCTTGAACACTTTGGTAGCCATCTCAATAAAGGAATTCTAAAGAGATCCTATCTCGTTTAATAGGACATCGCGAGGTGTACGTTTGACACCGTCTAATGGCTTTCTACCTTTAAGCTGTTAATAATTTGGAAGGCGACTTTGGCTCCTTTGTCGCATTTATTTGGCACAAAATGGCGATCCGTCAATACAAAACCATTAGTTTCTTTTGTGATTTGCGTTGGATTTACCCCGCAAGCGCTACGGGAAATTTGATAGTTACACATGCTTATCTCATACATTTTTTAATCTACGTCCGGAGGACCGTAGATTCCATGTGATCGAGCGTATCCGTCAACCAAAATCGTGTGACAAAAGAATATTCGTACTTAATCAAACTTCAAAATCGCTTCCCGATTAATGCCCGAATGACAGACTGTACAATTGAGAGGAACAAAATATGTGAAGATTAGTCACGATTGATTTGTCGGTAGACTTTCGGTTATTCAAACCTGTCAATGTTCGAAAGAGGGAGTTGCTTGTCAGAACAGAAAAAATGCGAATTTACTAGCAGAAGCACAGCGTTTACAGAGAATTATCAATGACTACGATCTCTAACCGCTGACCGTACGTATGACATTGCAGACTCGTTTTCCCACGCTCTT